CCGGCTATGGACCTTAGAAGGAGCAGTGTGCATCATGGAGCTGTACGGCAGCATCGGCACCGGATTGGCAGCAGTGTTGCGAGCTGGCTGCAGGGTGCGAAAGTGGATTCACGTCGAGAGAGATCCAGTGGTGCGCCGGATGGCCTAGCATCATGCCCGGCTACTGCTAGCTGAATATCCCGATCAGCTGGCCGAATCCGCCCTACCTGCTGAACATGAAGAGGTGGTGGACGATGTCAGAGATATCTCGCAGGAGACAGTCGAGCAATGGGGGCCGATTGACGTCATTGTGGCAGGATGGGAATGTCAGGGTTATTCTTGGGCCGGGGAAGGGATGGGAATGCAAGACATCCGCGGGGCCTCCTTCAGGGACTTAAAGCGGGTACTGGAGATGGTCCAGGCGAAGGAGGGAGAAGTGCTCTACATCCTGGAGAACGTGGATTTTGCTGACGATCGCAGGGAGTACGTGCGTAAGGCGTTCGCCGAAGTAGAAGTCGCTGTCGGCAGGGGGCAAGGGGTTGACGCAGCGCAGCTGGGGTCCAGAGCGCATCGGCCCAGAAGGTATTGGCAGAACGGGATCTCAGAAGCAAGATTACGGCACTCTCTGGCTCAGATGCAGCGGCCGGAACCGAGACTGGTTAGTGGCATTCTGGGTCCCAACCGGCTGCCAGCACCAGTCACTGTGCCAGATCACCCGTCCCAGTACCAGTGTAACGTACTGGGGAAGCCGAGACAGGCGCTGCCGACACTCGTGTCCTACGTGGATGCCTACAGATTCGTGATGGAGGGAGACTTGCCTGGGCCCGGGATGATATACAACGTCATCAGAAAGAGGTGGGAGCAACCATCGGCCGAGGAACGGGAGCTAGCCATGGGGCATCTGTTGGGAGCTACCGCCCACCCCCGAGTGACGGAGCCGCAAAGGAGGGCGGCGCTAGGTGGAGCCATGGACCTGAACGTCATGGCGTGGCTGGTGGAGACCATCCGCATGCATCTAAAGAGGAAAGAGCTCCAACGTGGCATTGAGGTCAGCGAGCTGTACCATGAGGAGGAGGAGACGGAGGAACGGAAACGTCAACTGAGAGCCATAGAGGAGCAACAGGAAGCTGGCATCTTGGAAGGGTGGGCCTACATGGCCGTGGAAGCAGGGAGTGGGGCTACGGACCAAGGGGTACTGCCGCCAGACGGGGAGAGTAAGGTTACGGAAGAATAGCCGAGCCAAGAGAGGGGACCTGAGGACGCCTAGCCCTTAGGCTCGGGAATGGAGGCAGAGGCAGCACAGGCACTACAGGAAGTGCTGAAGCAGCACCGCAAGACGTTCGCCTACACATTAGCCGAACTGGGGCAATGCAACTCTCATCAGATGCAGGTGAAGCTGAACATGGAGATACCTATATACCAAAGGAAACAGAGAATGAGCCCAGGCGACTTGGACATCTGCCGAGAGAAGTGTGCGGGGCTGTTAGCAGCAGGCCTGATCCAGGTTTCTGACAGTGATTACGTAGCGGCGACAGTGGTAGCGGCGCGGAAGGATCTCACCGGAGAAGTATCAGCCAGAAGGATGTGTGGGGACTACCGCGGGCTTAATAAAGTGACGGTGGCGGACAGGTACCCCATGCAATCGGCGGAAGAGATATTCGATCAGCTGCAAGGAGCAGTGGTGTTCAGCACGTTGGACCTCCGGCAGGGATTTAATCAAATACTGATCAAGGAGGAGGACCGGAAGAAGACGGCCTTTCATGGGCCCGATGGGCTGTATGAGTGGAAGTTCATGCCTTTCGGCATGAAGAACGCGCCAGCGCTATTTCAGCGAGTGATGGACTCCGTGCTGCGGAACGTGCCAGCGGCAGCCTGCTACATCGATGATGTAGTCGTGTTCAGCGCATCCGCCGAGCAGCACGTGAAGGACGTGAGCGACACCTTGGACGCCATACGAGCCGCAGGGCTGACATGCCACCCGAAGAAATGCAGCTTCGGGAACAGCACGGTGAAATACCTGGGCTTCGAAGTACAAGGGGGGCGACTGAGCATCCAGCAGGCGAAAGTGGAGGTGCTGGACCGAGTCCCCGCTCCTAAGGACCGCAGCACACTGAGGGCGGTGTTGGGCTTCCTGAACTACTACAGGAAGTTTGTACCCAATTTCAGCCGCACCGCCTCGATACTGAACCGGTTACTGCGAGAGGACCAGGCGTGGCAATGGGGGAAGGAAGAGCAGGGGGCATTCAAGGCCCTCCTCAAGGCTGTGAAGACTGGGACTGTCCTTACTCTGCCCAGTAAGGAAGACCCGTTCGTACTCTACACCGACTGGAGCAGCGCAGGCATGGGGGGGATTCTATGCCAGGAGAGGGAAGGACAGGAGATGGTGGTGGCCTTTGCGAGCCGAAGCTGTAACCCTGCAGAAGCCAATTATAGCTCCTACGAGGGGGAAGGGCTCGCGGCAGTTTGGGCCATCACCCACTTCCGGGTGTACCTACAGGGGAGGCCGTTCGTGTTAGTCACTGATCATCAGCCGCTTACTCGGCTGATGACCAACCAGGCCTTGACAGGCCGGAACGCTCGATGGGCTATGCGGCTGCAGGAATATGAGTTCACTATACGCCACTGAGCGGGAAAGACGTTGCAGCATGTAGACGGGCTCTCGCGGAACCCCCCACCATCGAGCCCAGAGGCGCGCCTAGTGGCATTGGCAAGAGAAATTGATGGGGAAGGAGCCAAACGGAAAGCTCAGAAGGGAGCCGAAGACGTCTGGGAGGACGAAGAGACTCTGAGGTGGATCTAAGGAAAGACCTCGGAAGCGGAACCTGCAAGCGAGAGGGCCAGAGCCAGGGGCCTGCATTACAGGTGGTACCAGGATCAGCTTCAGAAAAACACGAAGGAAGGATGGAAGCTGGTCCCGAGGCGGGAGGAGCGGGAAGAGATCATCGCGAGGGTGCATCGGCAGCTAGGGCACTACGGCAGCCTACGGACGAGCCTGTTAATAGAGACGGGCTGGTGGTGGGCAGGAATGCGAGGAGACATTAAGGAGTGGGTGGGCTCCTGCGAACTGTGCAGCAGGAACAGAGCGGAGCTAGAGAGAGGGAGGGAAGAGCTGCACTCGCTGCCTATCAGAGGCCTGGGGTTCCGGTGGTCATTAGACTTGGCGGGAGAAATGCCGCTCAGTCGAAGGGGGAAGCGTTTCATACTCATCATGATCGAGCACGGCAGTAAGTGGGTGGAGGTAAAGGGGCTGCCGAGCAAGGGCTCGGCTCGGATCGCTGAGGCATTTGAGGATCAAGTGTTGACTCGCTTCGGAGCATGTGGGGAAGTATTGACAGATCAGGGTACGGAATTTTTGGGAGAATTCGAGAAGCTACTGAAAGCCAGCGGTATTACCCATCGGCGGACCTCAAGGTATCACCCGCAGAGTGATGGGCTCACGGAGCGGTTCGTGCAGACAGTGAAGAGAGGGCTGAGAGCTTACGGGGAACAATTCAAGAGGGACTGGGACACGAGACTCCCGTGGGTGGTCGCAGGCTACCGCTTCAGTAAGCAGGCGGCGCTAAAGGACTTCTCTCCGTACTACCTGCTGCTGGGGAGAGAGCCTATCTTGCCCATAGACGCGCCACGAGTGCTGACCGATGTGATCACAGTGAGCTCGGAAGAAGCCTGGGTGGGGCTGGCCGAGGCAAGGGCACGGTACCTGCGAGAGATGCTGCCAGCGGCGTTGGAGAACCTGCAGGTGGCGCAGCTCAGGGATGCACAGCGCTACAAACGAAGGAGAGAAGGACAGGCAGAGCCGAAAAGTGCACCGCTGGGGGTGGGGAAAGAAGTATACGTCAAGCATGCAAGGCAAGATATGCTGGATATAGGGCTCAGCACTGAGAGGTGGAAAGTGAAAGAGGTCAAGGATTCGGGAGTGGTAGTGCTAGTGGGAGACAAGGGGCAAGAGAAGATGGACCATCAGATGAATGTGGCGAGGGCACGGCCTCAGAGAGTAGCCTCAGGCCCAGCAAGGCAGACGGAGCAGGCAAGGGAGCAGCCTTTCACTAAAAGGGTCCATCGGCGAGACAGGCCAGAGCCAGAGCCAACGCCGAGGAGGGGGCAAGTGAGAAAGGCAGGGGCAGCAACCCAAAGCATGCAGAGAGAGCTGAGGAACCTGCTGGGGTGAGACAGAAGAAGGGAGGTACAGAGAAAGGGGGGGCAGAACAGGAGGAGCGGCCACGAGACCAAGCAGGAGGAGCGGCGGAGAGAGCAAGTTTCCGACAGCTGTCATACATTTAATTGAAGAATAGTGAGTAGGACATAACAATATAAATGCATGACAGGGTACTATAGTGAGTAGGATTTAAGCGGTGTCAGGCAGAGGCGAGAGCGCCAGAGCGGGAACTGACGAAACAAAACCAACCGAGCCGTGCAACGGTAACCAAGTGCACGTACTTAGGCAAGCAACACGAGAAGTACCATTTGCTTGCTTGTATGTTTCCTCTATCAGCTAAGAGCTACCTACAACTCTACTCGTACTGTGCAAAGGAGAGGAGCCAATCCCAGCAAGCCTTTTGAGGGCTTCCACTCAGTGCCTTCGGCAGTCAGTCGAGCTAGGAAGACCCAGAGAGATAGAGTCTTATGTGCTAGGAGCATACAAGTGAGAAAGGCAGGGGCAGCAACCCAAAGCATGCAGAGAGAGCTGAGGAACCTGCTGGGGTGAGACAGAAGAAGGGAGGTACAGAGAAAGGGGGGGCAGAACAGGAGGAGCGGCCACGAGACCAAGCAGGAGGAGCGGCGGAGAGAGCAAGTTTCCGACAGGCCCCTGGGAGCCGTTCTGCCCGCCGTGTTTTGCGCTTGCGACGTCATCGCCCTGCGCTCTGCCTGCTCTTGCAAGGTTCTCTGCCGCATCGTCCCCGCACGCTGCCTTCGTTCTGCCGTTACCGCCGTCCTCGCCTCCTCCTCGTCGTGATCGTCGTCTGCGTTTTGGGGTCGCAGTACGTCGGTTATTTCGGTTCGTGGTTCTTGGCGTCTTGACGATGACGGGCAAGCGCCGTCGTCCCCCCCTGCAGCATCGTGCGACGGGTCGTCCTGACGCTCCCACCCCGCCAGAGGCCCCGGGCGCGCTGGCGCCAATCCTACTCCGAGCCGCCGCTGCCCTGGTCGCGCGCGAGGAGGGCACCGCCCCCTCGCGCCCCCAGGATCCGATTTATCGATCTCCTCGTGGGCGGACGCACCCGTACCTTCGCGCGCGGGGAGGGTCGTTCCGTACCCGGCGCCCTCCTCGGCGCTCACCTGCTGTCCAGCGACAGGTGGTCGGTCCGCTCCTCCAGCAACCCGCTCTTGCCGCGCAGTCCCAGCCGCTGCGGCTTCCTCCCTCGCTGTCTCAGTCGGCATCGTCTCCGCCGTGCTCGGCGTCGGAGCCCACGCCCGCCGCTGTTCCTCTGCCTCCTCCGTACACCCATCCTCCACCCGAGGCGTCACCCCCCGTTCATGCCCCTCCGGCCGCGCCTTCTTTCCCGCTGCCCCCATCAGCGCCTCCTCCCGGTGGTCCACCCGTTCCTCCTCCCCCTCCTTCCCCTCGGTCCCAGACGGGGCATGCTGTGACCTCTCCCCGCCCTCTCCCAGCGACTGGTCCTCATGTTCCCCCTGATTGCGCCACGTCGGCAGCATCCCCTGGTGCCAGCCCCTCGTCTACCTGCCGCTCGTTTCGGCTTTGTGAGTTTTTGCCTCTCCTGTCGCCTACCTTCTTGCCGCCTTCTGCCAGTCTGTTGTTCCCGCCTGCACTTTTCTTCTGACGGATTCCCTCGTCCTTGTCGCCCTGCGTTTCCCTTGTGTGCTCAGCATCAGCCGGTGCCTGGTCTTTCCAGCGGGTGCTGGAACGACGATGAGCTGCCAGGTACTCCTCGTGACCCTGATGTAGACTGGTGGGCGGCGTGGCCTTCCTGTCCGCGGGAAGGTGGCTGGGGGCAGGCTGTTCCTGGTGAGGCAGCTTATCGCGCGCGTGGTGCCCGGTTGTCGCAGGTTGGACGCTGTCTGTCGGAGCTGGCGATTGTGCTTGAGCATCTCCACGTCGCCCTGCAGCAGCGGGAAGTTGTGGCACGTGATCCTCAGCTTGGTGAGGACCAGCAGGGGCGGGTACGTGAAGCGGTGGCGGGTGCACTGTGGGAGCTTCTCCGCCTGCCGCTCGAGCCTGAGGACCCTTTACTTGACGATGGCCCTGGCGCTGCGGCTTTCCGCAGGGTAGCCACGGCTGCTGAGTCTTCGCCCCTGGGGATCGTCCCTGCAGTCGCGTCCTTGCTCCAGTGGTTGGGGCGGCGTGTGAATCAGATGTAGGCGGCTCCTTAGTTGCCGCCTTAGGCGCGGGCTTTTTCCTCCCCATTGCCGGGGTACTTACCTTTGTGAGGCTCTTGCAGTCTTAAGCTTGCATGCCTGTACCGCCCTATATGTTTCTGCTTCCTGTTTCCCCCGCCGAAGGCGGCCGGCGCAAGCCGCTGGGTTGGGAGGAACCACACTCACCAGAGAATAATGGCAGGAATGAGGCAATAAGGGAGGCTATATGGAATCCTGTACTCCTGATAAGCTTGCTGCAGGGGATACACTAGGGACAGGAGGCTAAGGAAGCCTTAGATCTATGCTATGCTAAGGCTAAACTAAGCTAGAGAGCTTGGAGAGACTAAGGACTGGGCCTAGTGCCTCTCTCTCTCTCTCTCTCTCTCTCTCTCTCTCTCTCTCTCTCTCTCTCTCTCTCTCTCTCTCTCTCTCTCACTCTCTCTCTCTCTCTCACTCTCTCTCTCTCTCTCTCTCTCTCTCTCTCTCTCTCTCTCTCTCTCTCTCTCTCTCTCTCTCTCTCTCTCTCTCTCTCTCTATCGCCTTGCTGCTCAGAGCACTGGTCCTTGTCTCACCCCCCATAGCACCAAACCCATCACCCTGTCCCCCCAGCAGGCGCCCATGACAGCGAGCGTGGTGGCGTGCGTCTTCTCTGCGCTGCTGGAGGCGTTCACCCACCAGCTCGACAACGCCTTCATCCCCCTCCTGCACTTCGCCCTCTGCTGCCTCTAGCCCACTCCGCCCCTCAACGCCCCCCCTGCAACACTTCAGTCCGCACCGAGTCCTCCATGCAGCTGCCAGGCCACCTGAGTTGTGCCCACATCGCCCCCAACGCATTTCACCTGTTTCCTGAAACGCCTAGAGTACTGTGCTCAGGAATGGATATGTGGAGAGATCATACGTTGATTGGGTAAGTGATTGCAACCGGCACATGCTATTCATACGTGCGCAAGAGGGATGCCGTTTCAAGAAGAAATAAACATTGAGAAAGCTTTCTTTCTGTTGCAATGGCAACATGCTTCATTACCGTAGAACGTGCTTCATTAGAATTGCAGTGATTACAACATTCTCATCCAACTATAAATTATACATGTACATGTTGTTGGAGTAAGAAGGTGTTGGGCTGAGAAAAGCCCTTAGGATCTTTACAAGGCTAAACTCAGAATAGGGATGTTATAGTTGCGGAAGCGTTATAATGATAGGTGTTGAACCACCTTTCACTAGTATGTGAGGGCAAGATAGATTGATTAAAACAAAGAGATACTGGGTTTTATAAGAGTACAAGAGATACAGCTAATAACCGTTTTACTGTTGATGTTGCGGTTCGATACAGTGACGACTCAGGCAACTACTCAATAACGAGTCAGTTGTTCGTCCTTGCTGTCGCGCTGTGCTTTGTCAGATAAAAGGTCGCTGACCTTCGACGTTTGCGTAACCTCCAGCAGTCGCTTTCCTTCTCAACCTCCAATGGTTGACTCGACGATGCTTCGTTTGTGCTTTGCTTCGTTTATGACTTAGTGTTTCGACACAACAAAGGCGCTTAAATCACTTGTTTCCAACACTCCCCTTCGCTTCTAGAGTGTCGCTGTTGGTGACGTGGCCTTGTCCAGTCGGCAGCATGCAGTACTCGAACTTCTGCTTTCTGAGCTTCTTTGTCAAGTAATCAGCTGCCATCTTAGACGTGGGGCAGTAGGACAGACTGAGTCTCCCCTTCTCGATCTTGTCCTTCACGAAGAAATATCGCAGGGCGATGTGCTTCATTCTGTTCGCGAATCCGTTCTGGTTGGCTATGTGAATTGCAGACTGGTTGTCGCAGAACAAGGAGAAGCTGGGTAACTGGGCCAGCTTTGTCAAACATTATATATGTTCAGCTTGTGTAGGCTACAGTGGGTTAGCCTATAGGGGGTACACAATTCTAGGGTTTCCTACTTGTACTCATTTCACTGCTAGTTCATTCATTCCTGTTCGCTTATTCTCACATGGTATCGAGCAGGTTCCCCTGTGGGAACTGTTCGTAGGGCCCACCACCGCTACCTCTTAACCTTTTTTTTTCCTGCCCGGAGCGCGCTCCGGACCCTAGTACTTCTTTTTTTTCGATCTGCCCTAGTGCTCTGAAGGCCGCCCGCCCTAGCGCCCGAGCGCCGCCGCCCTTGCGCCCTGACGGCCGCCCGCCCTAGTGCCCTGACGGCCGCCCGCTCTAGCGCCCGAACGCCGCCCGCCCTAGCGCCCTGACGGCCGCCCGCCCTAGCGCCCTGACGGCCGCCCGCCCTAGCGCCCGAGCGCCGCCCGCCCTAGCGCCGAGCGCCGACCGCCCTAGCGCCCTGACGGCCGCCCGCCCTAGCGCCCGTGCGCCGCTCGCCCTAGCGCCCTGACGGCCGCCCGCCCTAGCGCCCTGTCGGCCGCCCGCCCTAGCACCCGAGCGCCGCCCGCCCTAGCGCCCGAGCGCAGCCCGCCCTAGCGCCCTGACGGCCGCCCGCCCTAGCGCCCGTGCGCCGCTCGCCCTAGCGCCCGAGCGCCGCCCGCCCTTGCGCCCTGACGGCCGCCCGCCCTGACGCCTGAGCGCCGCCCGCCCTGGCGCCCTGACGGCCGCCCGCCCTGACGCCTGAGCGCCGCCCGCCCTAGCGCTCTGACGACCGCCCGCCCTGACGCCTGAGCGCCGCCCGTCGTCGCCCCAGCGCCCTAGCGCCCGACGCCCGCGAGCCGCCCGTCGCAGCCGCCCGTGAGCTGCCTGTACGCCGCCCGCCGAGCCGCCCGTGCACCCGCCCAGCGTGAGCCGCCCACGACCGCCCAGGCTGCCGTCCCCTTCTACCGGCCCCGCAACTGCACCTGCTGGCCCCGCCGCTGCACCTACCGGCCCCCACCACCCACCCCCCCTTTTCCCGTCGCCCGTCGCGGCTCCTTCGGGGGCCGCTCGACAGGCGACAGGAGAGGCCAGCAGAGGGGTGGCAGGTGTGTGGCCTCCCCTGCTTCTCCTCCTCCTTCTTCGCTCACCTGCAGCAGCCGAGCCGCCCCACCGCCGAGCCGCCCTGCACCCGAGCCGCCCAGCAGCCGAGCCGCCCTGCCGCCGAGCCACCGGGTCGCTGAGCTACTGAGCTGCAGTTGCTGCCGAGCCGCCCTGCCGCCGAGCCGCCGAGTCACCGAGCTGCTGAGCTGCAGTTGCTGCCGAGCCGCCTTGCCGCCGAGCCGCCCGAGTCGCCCGAGCTGCCGAGCCGCTGAGTCGCCGAGCCTACTCTTCCCACCACTGGTGAGCTCTTGCCCTGCTAGCACGCTGCGCGTCGCCTGCTTGCCTGCCTGCCTGCCTTTTGGCTTGCCTGGCTGCCTGCCTTCCTGCTGCTAGTCCTGCTCCTGCTTCTACTTGCGGAGCCAGATGCAGCCCCAGCAACGCCTGCGTGAGTCCCTCACGCCCCAGCAGCTGCGTGAGTGGTACGCTGGTTGGGGCTGTAGGGGTGGCGACGCTACTCCTACTTCCACTCCTGCTGCTTCTACTCGTGGTGGCGGCCAGATGCAGCTCCCGCGACCCTCTCGAGTGTCTCTCACGCCTCGCCAGCTTCGTGAGTGGTACGCTCAGAGTGGAGGGTCTCTCAGTGCTGTTCGCTGCTCTTACGTGATTCGCACTGGTACTCGGACTGGTCAGCCTTGTGGGACACGTAGTCATACACCGTCCCGCTGCTTCGCTCGTCTGAGCGACGCCTGGCGTACCGTGTTTGGCGACGAGGCTGAGCTTCCCGACTGGGTGGAGTTGCTTAGGCAGAGGGTAGATATATATGCTCTTGACTATGATGCTATTCTCACTGCCATGTATGCATTGCCTACTAGTGCCGGTCACCTGTGCGTCCCGCCTGGCCCAGGTATAGGACCTGCTGCTCTAGCTACTGGTGAGGCTGCTGCTCTGGGTGCTAGTGAGTCTCCTGCTCCAGGTACAGGTGCGGCTGCTGCTCTAGGTGCTAGTGAGTCTGCTTCCTCAGGTGCGGGTGAGGCTGCGCTCTCAGGTACCGCGTTGGCTTCGGCCTCCCTCACCTTTACACTTGACTCTGGGGCTTCTCGCTCCTTCTTTCGGGACCGCACCACACTCACGCCGCTTGGTCGGCCGGTTGCTGTCTCCCTGGCTGACCCCTCTGGGGGTCCTGTCCTCGCTCACTTCTCCACTGTCCTCCCGTGTCCGGCTGCCCCCTCGGGCACCCTGTCTGGCCTGTACCTCCCCTCGTTCTCGACGAACTTGGTGAGTGGTGCAGACCTACAGGATGCGGGGGTTCACCAGTTCACTCCTGCGAGTCAGCGGGTGACCCACTGCACGGACGCACGCACAGGCCGGCACCTGGCCACGTTCTCGCGTCGGCCGGGGTCGAGCCTCTACACCCTGACCACTGAGTCTCCTCCTGTCCCCGCGTCCGGTCAGGTAGCAGCGTCGGGTCAGGTGTTTGCTGCTGCGTCCAGGTCTGGTCCTGAGTCTGCCCCCTGTTCGTGTCGCCTCCTGTCTCACGAGACTCTTCTGTGGCACCACCGTCTAGGCCACCCCTCCTTGCCCCGTCTTCGGGGCATGGTTTCCCGTGTCCTTGTCTCTGGTCTTCCCCAGTCTCTCCCTCCCCTTCCTTCGGGACCAGGACCTTCCTGTGTCCCCTGTGTCGAGGGGCGCCTCAGGGCTGCTCCTCACTCCTCCCAGTTTCCCCCGACAGAGGCTCCTCTGCAGACGCTTCACATGGACGTGTGGGGCCCGGCCCCCGTCCGTGGGCAGGGTCACGAGCGCTACTTCCTGTTGGTGGTTGATGACTACTTGCGTTACACCTCAGTCTTCCCCTTGCGCAGCAAGGGTGCTGTCACTGAGGTGCTGATCGACTGGATCCGCGAGGCTCGTCTCCAGCTCAGGAGGAGCTTCGGCTCGGACTTTCCTGTTCTGCGTCTGCACTCTGACCGAGGTGGGGAGTTCTCCTCTCGCCTTCTGCGAGACTACTGTCGTGCACAGGGGATCCGCCAGACCTTTACGCTTCCGGACTCTCCACAGCAAAATGGGATTGCTGAGCGCCGCATTGGCATGGTCATGGATGTCGCTCGTACGTCCATGATGCATGCGGCTGCCCCCCATTTTCTGTGGCCGTTTGCGGTTCGGTACGCGGCGCATCAGCTCAACCTTCACCCCAGGGTCTCTCGGCCCGCGATGTCCCCAGTGTTACTGTGGACGGGGAAGGTCGGCGATGCGTCTGCGTTCCGTGTCTGGGGATCTCGGGCGTTTGTCCGCGACTTGTCTGCGGACAAGCTGTCCCCCCGTGCTGCTCCCTGTGTCTTCCTTGGCTTCCCCCTTGACGCTCCAGGGTGGCAGTTCTACCACCCCTCCTCTCGTCGTGTTCTGTCCTCCCAGGACGTCACGTTCGACGAGTCAGTCCCCTTCTACCGCCTCTTCCCCTACCGTACTCCTTCCCTCCCCCCCCCACCGGACTTCCTGGTGCCAGTTCCCCCCCCGGTAGACCCCCTCCCCCCTCAGGTTCCTGCCCCTTCAGGTGTGTCCCAGGTAGACACAGTCGAGCCAGTCGAGGTTGCTGCTGAGTCTGGTCCTGCTGCGGGTGCAGAGTCTGGGGGTGCTACGCCTGCGGGTGCTGAGCTTGGGGGTGCTGCTGCTGGGGGTGCTGAGCCTGGGGGTGCGAGGCCGGGGGGTGCTGAGCTTGGGGGTGCTGCTGCTGGGGGTGCTGAGCCGGGGGGTGCTACGTCAGGAGCTGCTGAGCCTGGGGGTGCTGAGCCTG